ATGATGATGATGATAAAGGGATGATCTCAACTGGAACACGGCCATTCATGCGTGAATTCAAGTAATCAAACATCATCCGACGTAGAGATACAACGACTACCTTTTTCTATCCCATCCAATATCATGCAGGGTTATCCTAGGACACCAATACCATTTCATATTTTCCCCATTATTTCACGTAGCTGAGGGAACTGATATAGTGAGGTTGAACGAGCGAAAGTCTTTTCAAGCAATTTATTTTAACCTCGCGCTCACGACTAAGGAACAACACCTGGTTTGCCAGCCGTTATTCGAAAATGGGATATAACGCGGAGTAACCTTTGAATTTCAAGAGTTACAACCAAACTTTTGCTTGAAACTTAGTCACTTTAGGATGCACTTAATTATCCAGTGACCTGGTTGGCTTATTGTAATCTATGCGCAAAGGTCGGTGTGGCATCACAGTTCACAAGAAGACAAAATAATAGCCTTGAGCCATACAAGGCATGGGAGCGACCCAACCGCTGCCTATCTGAAGGAAGCCTGAATAAAAGTCGCCAAAGTGTACAGTCGTTCGGTTCTGGTTGGGGATTCAATCTAACGGATCTCCACACTGGCCTTTATAATTACAATGATCTGACCTTTGGAAAATAAAAGTAAAGTACATGGAAGCGATCTCATTCGAAGATGGGGTTTCCAATCTTGCCGGAAGCTACTGAGGCTTGCGGAACCAAAAGAACAATCCGATCGCGGACAGCTCCGGCCATGCTAAGTGGTGTATTCGTCTAAATTGCGCGGCCTTACCTTTGTTTCTTTTGAGAATTATGCGGGTAACATATTCTACCAGATACGAGTAAGGATTTAGAAGCATTAGAAAAATCAAACACTTCAGGGCAGTTTTGAGTTTCTTTGGATTAGAAGTGACCCCATTCTAGCTTGACCAATCATCTGAACAGTTTTGATGCAATTATTTTTGGAGTTAGTAAACTGAGCCGCCAACCCTATCGGATTGGTTAATGTACTAAGACATTTCAGGCGGACACGGTATTCCTAGATCATCAGCTGACATCGGGCGCACATGAACCAGCGAACCAGCGAATAAAGTTCGCAAAATTGGACATTCTGTCCGTGATCCGCAAGACACCTTATGAAGGAACTGTTGTTGGTGATAACTGATAAGATTGAAGACCGACCACGGTACGTAGAACATTGCTTGATGCACGTACACTCTGATAATCTATTCTCAACCGTCGGCCGAACTAACGGCCAGCAGCTGCCTACCGTCTGGACAGAACTGATCCGCAACCGGTACAGGTACCCTGACCAACATTCACGCAAACCACACATTCAAACGGGAACTTGACCAATGATAAAGCCCATAGAATGTTGATCGCTTTAATGTTGGCCAGTTGACCAATCAGGTGGCGGGAAGGATGGTCCCGATGGGTTCATCGGATCACGTTATTCAGGTAACTTCGAAAAGCTGTACAAGCACACCTATACCCGATAAGAACCCTTTCAACTAATAACCCACAGAAAAAGTGGCAACAAAGCACGGTGAACAGATCAGCAATCACAGACTGGCTTCTAATTCTGGATGGCCAGTGTTTAAAAAAAAGCGAACCAGGTTTCCAGATGACAGTTTTGTGATCGGGGAGCGCTTCTGCTCTACTTTCTTGCATTGCAATTCAAAACAAGACGAACAACGAAACTTGCGAATGGTTTTGAAAAATTTAGTGGAAAATTCCACGGAAGTACTCAAACATCCTCTATACAGCTGCACAAAGTTCTCAATCGACGTGCCTATGACCTATGGGAGCCATAACGGTTTATGCAGCGCTTAGTTTCGTGCCAGTAGGAGAGCGATATGTAAGCCTCTGATTCAGTTAACGTGTAAAATGTGGTCTTGCGAAGCGAATTCAACAATTTTCCTTTGCTTGTAGATGGCTTGCACCTTTTTTGTGTTGACTTCCATCGGATGATAGCTCAGTTGCTCAGTTGAGTGGCATGAATGTTTACAAGGTGTGAGTCAGAAGAACCACACTTTTTAATACCTCCTGATCTGTCCACTTTTCGATACACTTGCGTAGCAAGTACCTCAAAATTGGCCACCAAATATTTGCCAGAAAATGTTTTGTGTAGTTCCGAGTGTTTTGGGTTATTCTTGAAGGGAGGTGGTGCTCAGTACCTCTGATCTGAGCAAAAGAAACATGGTCAGACCCAGTGGTCGATCTGCTGGGCGGAAGGTTACTTATTTCTCTTACCTTCTGTAGTTTGGATGAATCAGTAGCTACTTCCTTCGATGTCAGAGTACTTAACAAAACTCACGGAAATGTTTCACTTGAGGTAAAATGTCAAACATTGACTTTTGTTTCCCCTATTCCCACGTAACCACTTAGACCTCATCTGGACAACACACCACGTCAAATCAAACTAGGTGAAGCGTCACAGTTCAGGTTTGTCTTGTAAGCAGGGTTATTATACAAGCTGCTCTCTCCCACACTGCGTTTCTTGTACACATACCAAACTTGTGCCTCTATTCGAACGATTTCCCCTGAGATCCCTCAGGTATATGCAATATAAAGTTCTGGATGAATGACCACCTTACCCTCTGTCAGCACGTGGTGGGTGACTCAGATTTACTTTTCAGATAGACTCAGGGTCCCGATGCAGCTACGCTTTGATATTCTTACGGATGCAAAACTAGGGGGAAATTTCTCACCAAGCACCGAGTTTCTTCTTTGATTCTTGCAAACCCAATTCTTCATTTGAACTTGTATAATGATGTTCAATTTAGAAGTGAGAAATTTCAAAAATGGTCCCCTGTAGAAGGGGCCTTACTCCCCTTGGGGCTTGTGTTCAGAGGGGCTTGTGCACTTCGGGATTTAAGACCGCTGAGCATGCACACAAAATTCTTCGTAATTGGGTTTTTATCCCCGCAATAAATGATATTGCGAATTGTGAACCGTATGATAACGAAAATGATATGAATATAGTCGAAAATGATAAATAGTCCGCTGAGAGATTTACGGTTGCGCAGCTTTCGTTAGTGATGCACATAGCACCTTGCCTGCCATAGAGTCCACATACGGATGATTCCCGAATTGAAATTCGTTTCGGTGGGAACAAACGCACGGTTCACTCAACAGCTGTATCTTGGCATTTTCAGAAGGTCACAATGGAAGCAGGCGTGAACGTAAATGTCATGAGATAATTAGCTACCGACCGTGAACAATCTGCGCCGATTCCAGCTGTTGAGCGATGGCGTTTGGGAAGTGTCCATCAAACGCTGTAGAATAGTCCGCTGAGAGATTTACGGTTGCGCAGCTTTCGTTAGTGATGCACATAGCACCTTGCCTGCCATAGAGTCCACATACGGATGATTCCCGAATTGAAATTCGTTTCGGTGGGAACAAACGCACGGTTCACTCAACAGCTGTATCTTGGCATTTTCAGAAGGTCACAATGGAAGCAGGCGTGAACGTAAATGTCATGAGATAATTAGCTACCGACCGTGAACAATCTGCGCCGATTCCAGCTGTTGAGCGATGGCGTTTGGGAAGTGTCCATCAAACGCTGTAGAAGATAACTCCAGTAATGATGAAATACGCAAGCCCTAAAAACGTTTGTATGACTTGCGCGTGGTGGGGATATTAACAGATCCATACGAACCCAGTGCAAGTATATAATATAAGTATATAGTACCACGAATAGTGCTACACAGCCAAACAGCGCTGCGGTACCTACCGTATTTGTAACCGAGGGAGCAAATGATGATTGCACCGTTTTGCGATTCTATGAACCCATGAAAACAGTAAGTTTAGAATATGGGAGTACTAAGACAAACGTGATCGTATATATTCCGTCCGCATTTCACTGACAGGAGTATCAGCAACACTAGATATACTGATAAGATGAATGGATGAAAATACCAGTGAACAGCTTTTCATCCGAAAAGAACGCCAAAATAATTAGCACTTGTCAGATAAATGGACGAAACTCCTTGAGATGTTGACCTGTCCCAACCGAGGAAGTGTTTCGAATCACTGAACCAACATATCCTCTTGTGAATCCGACAGTCGGCAAACCTACTGAATTGGACATTTATTGGGACCACCTTTTGGAATGAAAAAGACCACTCATTACCTCAGTTAACTTCTTACGTTTCATTTTATGGAGGGCGTTATGAACAAGTGGGTTGGATGCGACTACGAACAGCATTTTTTACTGGTTCTGTGAATGGGAGGTTCTTTCGCATCGTCCAAAAAGACTAGACTGGTTAGTCGAGATATCTGGCCTTCCAGGAATTTTAGTTTAAAGTCCATTCTTGATGATACACAATTGTGATGAACTTGTAAGGCGTCGAAGCGAATAAACTGGTGCACGGGTGTTCAGGTTGTATGCTACACCGTCATATGTACACCGGATTTTGACTATGTTTACTTTGTATTTGCGTGCAACTTTGTGTTGACACTAATCACCTAGGTTACGGTGTTCTATTCGTTTTTTCAAACAGTGCGTTTTGTCGTCTTATGGGGCTAATATTCTTTATTTTACTTTAAACGGAAAGGGCAATTACGTTGTTCCGGCGATAATGTTCAAACGCCGGTAGATTCTTTTTATTTGTGGAGCAGCACAGAGCAGACGAAACACATTTTTGAGCAAATGGTTTTCACCAATTCATTCATAATTCTATGAGCATACTAGAGCGAATCGCCAGGCGGTGAGTCACGTGTTTGGCATGAAAAGCGGACAACACCGACATGCCCAGAAGTGCAAATAATTGGCCGTTAGTTTGATCGGTGAGCTGGGCAGTTTGGTTGCAAACGTTTCGCCAGTGAGTTGTGAACCCAAGGGTGTTGGGGTTAGAAGTACTTGGTTATTACCCATAGGTGGGTTTATGTAGGATCTGCTCACTCGGGTCAACCTTGATCGATGATTGGTCATTTGTTCTGGGATTCCTGTTGACTGACCTGTCTTCTGATTGCTGGATGGCCTTGAGACTTGATCTATACGCCCTCCCGACGTGGCCTGTATCAACGCGTGCACTAACCAAGCGGTAATATTCAAAACGTATTGATGACGTCGCTTCGGTTGGTGATGGAACGTTTGCAACCAAACTGCTCACCTCTGGGGACAAACCAATGACCATCTTTACTACCTGAGCTACCAAAATTTCTTTCACTGCACCTCGTAGTGTTTATTTCGTTATGTGCAACAGACATAAAATAAGATACCTACTGTGAATCCGCACCTGTTTTTGTCATACCTATTGTGATCTTTCCATTTACAGTGACAGCAAAGATCATGCGGTAACTGCTTGGCTCGTTGTTTCTGTTGATGTGACTAACCCGTTGCGTATCACCAACAAAGCCGTAACCTTGTTTGAAATTAACAGAAAGCGTGTCCCCTTTCACATGTTAGGTAGACCTATTTATTAGGTGACCAGTGATCACAATGATTCAGCTAAAGCGAAACACCGTTCAGCTGTAGCACTCTTTCGGAGCCTCACTGCCATGCCACCCGAAGGAAGCACGAGGTCTGGGATACTGTCAGGTTGCCCAAGCCTAGACAGGGATAGTCAAAAGTCGGAGGTCGAGTTCGGACCACAGCCCATCCGGCCAGTAAATTCACGATCTAATCCCTGAGCCATCTGGTATCACTTAGCTAATGAACCAATTGGATGCAGGTATGCTTGGATGGTCCTAAGAGGGATCACAATTATAACTGTGAGCTACGTTTAGAGACATATTTGGAGTTAGTTTGTTTTCAAGGCGACTAAACAGTTAGTGTTGGATGGCGGAAAACTTAATTAACATCTCATATGTAGGGCAAACTGTGTCGGTTGAGGTGAATGATCGGTGGTTAATAAGAATTCCATATGTCAGTCTCAGTAATAAAGGGGGTAGAGACAGTGGCACTTGCAGCAGCGTACTCTCTAAAGACGCTAGGAAACTTGACGGACACAAATGCACCCTAGGTCTTATACACTACCATTCACATATCATCTGGATTGGGGGCGACGATGCACTAGATTGTCACCTGTTAGTTGAACCTCTTCATTTAATGAACCGGTGCCTCGAGGAGAATATTAGGACCAGAGTTTCTGTAAATATCTGCCAGCCGATGGTTTTGATTTCTTGCTTCATAGAAAGCTAGCTGTTTTGGCCAGTCAGCGCCCAACTTTTTTGCCAGTAATAGGTGGTTATGAGCTGCTTGGATGCCTCTAAAGATGCTCCTAGCTGTTTTTTCGTTGCCTGTCATTTTGAAATGGCTAACTCTTACCACGTTTGAAGTTTTGCATCGATATCAAGAAGTAATAGAGAGAATATCTGCCAAAATTTGTCGAACAAATGTAAAAGAGCCGCGGTAGAAACTTGAGGGCGTGACTCGGTGTTAAGTTAAAATGTCCTCAGTAAGGTGAATCTCCTTGGATCTTGTTTCAGAGTTTGGACCCGCTCGGTAAAATATTAATTCAACATAGAGTCAGCTAGGGATTTTTACCGGGATAATAGTAGTTCCAGATCTCGTCTTTATAAGAATTCTATTCGGATTTTTCGTAGAAAACAAGTCAGGGTGTGTCGAAAAACGAAAGGCGTTGCAGAATTCTGAATGCGTTACATATGGACTGGGATTTCTTGAAATTAACCGACTCTTTTCTTGATAACCCGAGAACCTTCACTTGTCTGCTATTTTGAGAAGTTGTCAGTTTTCCGAAGTGCAGTAAAAGTTTCGTGTCACCTATAGTTTCATCTTTCGGGTTCATATTTTGAAATGTGCCAGTGATTTTGTTTGCGTTTAATAACACTTAATCTTCTCAACCAGAGACGAGGTCTACCGCTTGACTGACATGTGATTTGAAACCAATTTTCTTCGATCTTTTACCCTTTAGCTTAATTGTTCAGGCAGGAGATTCCACCCTCCTCAAACCTTATGTTTGTGAAAGTATGTAGAGTGTTCGGCATGACTTAAGCTGTAAAATTGGGGCTTAGATAAAGCGCTTAATTCTAAATTTCTCGCGGAATAAAGAGAGTACCGTATTCATATATCGGTTTCTATCAAACCATCAATCATTCCGTGTCTCAAACATTCCTCGGTTCGTGAAAGTAGAAACTCCACGTTACGCATACTTTAAATCTACAGATTGTTGTCAACTGTGTGACACAATCAAGTTCAGAACGCTTCTGAGAATAGTTGCAGGCAACGGAAATTGATCTTGCGGGTATGCGCGGGTTTGAGCAGAAGCCTCATCGAACGTGCATGACCGCTACTCTTTAACATGGTTACGGTATCAAACGGTCTTTCAGCCGCATTTTATCCTGAATAGATAGGTGGGGAAAGAAATTGCTCGAACACCAGCCGTCGTCCATAAATATCCCTCTGGGGGATCAAAATAGGAAGAGTGTCGATGCCACTGACGATCCGCTTGCGTTGTTTCCTCAGACCGCTGGCCAAATATGTTACAGCCTCTCAAAAGTAAGTCTATCGGAAGTCACGATAACATCTAAAGAAAGAAGCTGACTTGGATGTTGTTAATCAATCAATCAAAGGTCTTTGAGCCACTCCACTGTTTGCATTTTTGCACACCTTTTTCTCTTGGATGTCCAGGCATCAGAGTCTGTGTTTACCTTGAGAGAATGGATCTTTCGCTTTCACCTACAAAGGAGAACATTTCGGTGACGCCTGTATAGAACTGATATGTGTTTTGCTCTAACTAATCTCAGATACCTAACCTCTTCGTGACCGTTTGTAACAGAATCAACCAAACACGATCAGTCCAACTTCAGCCTTTTTTTTATATAATTATCATTTCAGGGAAAAAGAAGTGGAAGAAGTTTTTCGGATGATGGATCGAAATAAAGATGGTGTGATTTCGCAAAAAGAATTCTTGCAGTTCTTGAAAAAATATGGGCACGAAAGAGATGACAAGCACTTGTTGAACCTGTTTCATATGGCTGACTGTAATGATGACAAAAGGCTTTCGTTGAACGAACTCAAAGCAATCCTATGCCAAAAACACTAAATATACAATCGGACTCTTTAATCATTTGGTTTTGTTGTCTACTTAATCTAGCGCTGTTCGTTCGATGGGATATTGCCAACAAAAGGTACCGTGGTGGTTTCTCCTAAATGTGCTACACATTTCCTAAACTTGCTCGGAATTAAAACGCGTATTAGCCGAAGAAATGAACACCCGAGCTACGAATTGTATTCCTGTTTCTGTTCATATCCAGTTTATCGCACCGAGAGGACGATGAGGTAAAATAGAAAACGGGCAGAGGCAAAAGTGACAGCCTCTCCAATTTTTAAACAAAGCTCATGCCAGTGTCTAGCAAAAGAGTAAAAAAATTGGATGATCATCTCAGGCGAAATCCTTGCTCAGTAAATTTCGCTGACGCATAGGGCTACTGAAACAGCTTTCAGTAGCCTCAGAAGGGTGTGGAATCATTTCGAGCCGCGGCGATTCATGATTCGTACCCATTCATGTGGTACGCATTTCAACAACTTTGCTGCATGAAGGCTCAACAGTCTGAGGAAAAATAAAACCATGAAATTCGCTGATGGGTTTGCCCGATATTTTTTGAAGACCAGATGGTGCGTAGCATTATCGGCGCTCAAAATATTGTAATACGGCTGCGCATCAGCCTACTGCGCAGCGGGACAATCATGTGATACAGAACCGTGCGATTACGCCTATACGTCTGAATCACGTGCGGTTTCATTGTGCCGGAGAAAGGTCAAAAAAGGACACAGAAAGTCCACACCCACTCCATGGCCAAGGTATACCGTACACAAGCGCACAGACGGCCATCTATGATCAACCGAGACAAAGGAATAATCGCCCGAGAACCGGTGTGGATGTGTGGGAGACCCACTGATTGTTTGACAGCGGATCGACCATCAAATACGGCGACAAGTGAATCATATATGGCCGT